AGAACAGGGTTTTTTAAGAATCCATATAGTTACATTATAATATGCCTAGTGAAAACAAAATAAAAATGTATGTCAGCTTTTGTGTATTATCAGAAATGTTAATCTAATTATAAAGTATATTTTACAAATAGAATAGGGAGTTGTGAAAATTGTGGTGATTTTATTAGTTGAATTCATTAGTCGATGTAAGCTAGATCACCACTAAAAATCTAGAAACACTGGATGGTCGTTTCGTACTAGTATGGAACTCCTCATCAGTGGGCACCGGTGATTCAGCATCAAAGAGACTCGAACGCAGTACCTTCGGTCTCCCATGCCAACGTCTAACTCCCACACCAGTAAGCCGATATCGAACGTTGTTAATGTCTGACTTTATATGATCTATGATTTTGCACAACCATTCATCGATTGTCTGGGATGGATAACTAGCTCCACCTGACATGGATTTGACTCAACTGGTCATGGCTCAGACGATGGATGTGAAAGGTTGTGCAAGGTAGCTAACTCCATGCCCAACCCACCTCCTTTATCCGGGCTTGTGACATGCAGTAACCCCTGGAGAGGCTATAGGAGGAGTTGAATACATAGATATGTACTCAATAAACAATTTTCATTCTATTCAGTTTGTAAACAGCTTACGCTGATATTCCATGCCATTGAAACTTCATCTTTTAAAATGAATAATAACATATCTTTATATACAGTTGAATTCATGAGTCAACTGAATCTAGACCATCATGGAAAACCTGAAAGCACTGCTTTAAGGCCGTTTCATTCCATTGTACGCATCCACGATCCCGCTTCGCGAGACTCAACATATCTTAACGAATTTTTCAAAGTATTCAGTCTCTCTACACTTATTTGTTCTTTCGTTTTCCATCTGGTATTATCTAATCATTTCTATATCCTTTTCAACTATATTTAATTATTCACATAAACAAAGACAAAATAACGTGTTCATATTAGAAATTACGATTTACAGCATACTTTACTTACTTACTTACTACTTAATTACGCCTATTACCCCTCGTGGAGGAGCATAGGCCGCTCACTAGCATTCTCCATCCAACTTTGCCCTGGGTAATCCTTTCCAGTTCGTTCCAGTATACAGTATACTGATAAATATTTGTCTATACCAGTTAAGTGAAATAATTGACACAATAAGTTTAATTAGGATTGGTAAAGCAACAATATCATTCTTACAGTTGAAGAGCATATGGAACTAAAAACAACTGTTAAGTAATATCAAAAGTTAAAATCTTCAGTACAAACATCAAGACATTCCTATTGTATGAAGCTGAAACTTAGAGAACTACCACAACTATCATCAATGAGTTATTATAAACAATAGTCTACATAAAATACTGAATCTCCATTGATCGGATCACATCAGCAACAACCTATTGTGGGAAAGAACAAACGAGCTTTCAGTTGGAGACGAAATCAGGAAAAGACTTTGAAAGTGGATAGGTTATATATTGTAGAAATCATCAAACTAAATCACGAGACAAGTAATAATTTAGAATCCTGAATTGAAAATAAAAAGAGGAAGGCTAATAAACACACTGAGTAGGAAATTTGAAGCAAATATGAAAAGGATGAATAGCAACCGTAAAAGAATTGGAAATGTTTGCCCATGATAGAGTTGAATACAAATTGCTGGTAGTTGGCCTATGCTCCTTCATGAAGGGTAACAGGCGTAATTAAGTAAGCTCAATTAATTGCACTGGACTTGAACTGGAAAGGATTGACCAGGACAGAGTTGGATGGAAAATGCTGATGAGCGGCCTATGCTCCTCCATGAGGGGTTACAGGTGTAAGTAAGTAAGTAAGTAAGTAAGTCACTTCTCTTATTATCTTAAGTCATGAAAATTCCAAATATTGTATACCATCAAATGATCATACCATTTAAGCATATATCATTACACATAATAGACAATTTTGATGAGTCTGTTTCATGTATATGAATAATAGACAAAAAGAGTATGCAAACTATAGATGAATGTCTTAAATAAAATGGAAACCCTTATCTAAACGATCAACAAAAAAAAACCCTGAACGAACAGAACAATCTCAGTGATGGTCCTATTTATAATTAGAATCATCGGAAAGATACAGGTAAATGGTATGTGTTTGTTTGATAATTTTACTGTTAGGAATGAAACAATGACTGAATCATGACAAAAATTTGATAGAATTATGTAGGGATATAGAGACTGTTCAATGAAGACAATCTGTATAAACCATTTTGATTGATTATATCGATATAATGATAAATTTAATAGTTGAATTCATGAGTTAATTAAAGCTAAATCATCATGGAAAACCTCGAAGCATTGGATACCTGTTTCGTCATAATATGGGACTCCTCAGTAGTCACCATCCATGATCTCGCTATCGAGATTCGAACCTAACCTTTTCGGTTTCGCATCCGAAAGCTTAACCTCCAGATCACTGAGTTGGCATCCAATGGTTTTAATGTTTAAATTGAACAAATCCA